GAGTCGACGCGTTTCCTTTACTCTCAGTCCTGTAGAAGCATACGGTGAAGACATTGATGTTAATGAAGCTTACGTTCTCCCTGACCTGAATCAATCAGAACGAGTTTTGCCGGGGACAGTAGATGTCCATAAGTATCCGCACCTTCAAGACCTTACATTCCCAGTGGTGGACTTTGAACGAGTCTCGATCATTGTGGGGAGTAACGTCCCTGTTGCACACTTGCAGAAGGAAGTCAGAATCCCGAAAGACAACAAGAGCGGCCTCTACGGTTATCGGTACCCTCTCGGTTGGAGCATTTCAGGTCCATTGACTATCGCTGGGACAAGAAGAGCTGAGCTCAATTTCATCTCTGTTGGACACAAACCTGACGACTTTGTTGAAAGGTTTTGGAAGATCGAAGACTATGGAACATTGAAAGCAGGAGAGAAGCCCTTATCTGTGGAAGACAAACGAGCCCTAAAAATCATTGAAGAAACTACTACCCTTGTAGACGGGCATTATGAAGTTGGCCTACTATGGAAGGAAGATCAGCCAAAGCTGCCAAACAATCGCATTTTAGCTGAAAGACGAGCAGAATTGCTTAGACGACGCCTGACCAAAGCAGGAAATGAGCAAATGGCTGCTAAGTACCGTGGAGTCATGACTGAGTACATCTCGAAGGGTTATGCACGCAAATTGTCCCCTGAAGAAGCAGCTAGAGAAAGCTCGATAACTTGGTACTTACCTCATCATCCAGTGACTAATCCCAACAAACCTGACAAGCTCCGTATCGTCTTCGATGCCGCATCTGAGTATGAAGGAACATCTCTAAACAAGAATCTCGTTCAAGGGCCAGACATGACAAACAGTCTCGTTGGTGTGCTGCTGCGATTTCGACAGGGGCATGTAGGGGTAGCCGCTGATGTCGAGGCAATGTTTCATCAAGTGCGTGTGCGTAAACAAGATCAAGAAGCTCTACGATTCCTCTGGTGGACAGATGATTACGACAAACCCCCGGATGTCTATGTTATGGAAGTACACATATTTGGAGCAACCTCGTCCCCTTGCGTTGCAAATTGGGCCCTGAGAAGAACAGCCAGTGACAATGCTGAAAGGTTCAACCCGCAAGTTGTTGCAACTGTTGACAGGAACTTTTATGTTGACGATGCTCTGCCATCCTTCAGTGAGGAGAATGCAGCATCTACTGTAGCATCGGACCTAGTGAAAATCCTGAATCACGGTGGCTTCAACCTTACGAAATTCATGACGAACAGTAAGAATGTTTTGGCAACCATTCCCACCGAGAAAAGAGCCACACCAGATCTGAATCTTGACTTAGACGAACTGCCAGTGGAAAGGGCGCTAGGGATTCGCTGGTTTGCTGAAACAGATGAGCTTGGATTTGACATCAAGAACTTGAATCGACCCGAAACAAAGCGTGGAGTACTGTCCGCCGTTTGTTCCCTGTATGACCCTCTTGGGTTTGCTGCGCCTGTGGCCCTTACTGCCAGAGTAATTATCCAGGATATGTGGAAGGCTAAGGTAGACTGGGACCAGCCACTCGAAGAAAACTTCTTAGCCAGATGGAAGTCTTGGACCTCACAGCTGTCATCCCTCTCTGCACTGCGCATCCCACGTTGCTACTTGCCAGCTGGAACAGATGCTTCCAAATGCAAACTACAGCTGCATATCTTCTCTGATGCCTCTGAAATTGGCTACGGTGCATCTGCGTATCTAAGAGTCGAGAATCCAGATGGGTCTATTCACTGCTCGTTTGTTGTGGGGAAAGCAAGAAATGCACCTGTCAAGTTCACAAGCATTCCAAGGCTTGAACTCCAAGCTGCTGTTCTGTCTACACGCTTGAATAAGATGCTGAGAGAAGAGTTGGACCTTCCTATTCAGAGCACCAAGTTCTGGACAGACAGCGAAATAGTTCTCCACTACTTGAAGAATGAAAGGCGTCGTTTCCAGACCTATGTCGCTAATCGAGTCGAAGAAATCAGAGGAAACTCACAGCCAGACGACTGGAACCACGTGCCAGGTGTCTTGAACCCAGCCGACGATGCGTCACGTGGCTTGAACCCCTCTGAGCTAAACCTTGATCACCGCTGGCTACGAGGACCAGAGTTCTTATGGCAACCTGAATCCTTTTGGCCCAACGCAAGCCTTCGAGAAGTCCCCGATGAAGGCCTAGAGCTTAAGAAAGAAACCCATGCTAACTGTACTGACATAAACACCAATGTCAAGACCCGCCAGGCAAGCGTACAGTCTAATTGCCCCCCCGCCACACCTGTTGAGACCACCATGCAACAAATAATAAGCACCTCCTCTGATTGGAACCGTCTCAGACGTCAAGTGGCTTGGCTCACACGCTTCACTCATTTCATCCGTGACCGGAAGACTGTCCACACAGGTCATCTGACTTTAGAAGATTACGATGCTGCTACCTTATCCATCGCAAAGATCGTCCAGCACGCAGCCTACGATCAAGAGATCAAGGATCTAAAGACCAGGGGCGAAGTCAGGGGATCCAGTAAGATCGCTAGTTTGAACCCAATGCAAGACGACCATGGTGTTTTGAGAGTCAAGGGACGTATAGCATCACCACCAGCTGCTGACACTGCCAGGAATCAAATAATACTGCCCAGAGATCATCCAGCGACAGTCCTGATGGTCCGCCACACCCATGCATCAATTGGTCACCTGGGGCGTGAACACCTCATAGCAAGGGTTCGAGAGACGTTCTGGATCCCACAAATAAGGGTGTTAACACGTTCTGTCCTGGGTCGGTGTCTTGTTTGTAAGAAGTTGAATGCCAAGCCGATGACTCAGCAAATGGCTCCCCTGCCAAGAAGCCGGATGATGGCGTACGAACCCCCATTCTCCTACACAGGAATGGATCTATTCGGTCCTTTATACGTCAAGCATGGAAGAGGAACAGCCAAACGGTGGTGCTGCTTATTTACCTGCCTGACGACACGTAGTGTACATCTTGAATTGGTTCACTCGATGGACACAAACGACTTCATAATGTGTCTGCGACGATTTATAAACCGTCGTGGTGAAGTGACTGAACTAAGGTGTGACAGAGGATCAAATTTTGTCGGCGGTGAACGAGAGCTGAGAGAGTCGATCGAGCAGTGGAACCAGCAACAAATTGTGCAAGAGCTTCTACAACGAGGGTGCAAATGGGTCTTCCAGCCGCCAACTGCTTCTAGCATGTCTGGGATTTGGGAGCGGATGGTGCGAAGTGCTAAGACTGTTCTGAAGTCTATCCTAGGGACCCAAGTAGTTACGGAAGCAGTTCTTCAGACGCTGTTGACTGAAGTTGAACGAGTGTTAAATGGGCGAGCGCTCACCGCCAATTCAGACGACCCAAATGACCTTCAGCCACTCACGCCAGCGCATTTCTTAATGCAGAGGAAGACTATCTGCCTACCCCCTGGCATATTTGAGAAAGCAGATCAGTATCACAGAAGGAAATGGAGGCAGGTACAATTTCTGGCAGACCTATTTTGGAAGAGGTGGTTGCGTGAGTATTTACCTACCCTGCAAGCCCGAGGAAAGTGGAGAAAGGTCTTACCTAACTTGAAGCCGAAGGCCCTTGTCCTGTTAGTTGATGACAACGTGCCGAGAGGATGCTGGAAACTTGGACGAGTCCTAGAGGTCTTCCCTGGCCCCGACGGCCTGGTGCGCACAGCGAAAGTCAAGACAAAGGACTCTGTGTTCATCCGACCTATTCAGAAGCTATGCCTACTGGAGAACGATCTTGAGAATAATTAGTCTAGGCTAGTGACGTTGGGCCTACCTACTGGGTTGTCCCAAGGCCGGCGGAATGTTTAGTCCAAATTTTATTTTGATTTATTTTTGCGTTCACTTCCTTTTTGGACACTACGTGACTACTTATATCATGTTAGTTTCGGATGGTCACATGACCACAGCAAAAGCAGATCACCACGTGTTTTCAAGTGTAGTGTTATAGAGCAAATGTTTTGAATTTCTCATCGATTGCATCGCACAGAATGTAAGTAGTTTTGCTCTTTAGTGTCGCTTTAGGTTTATTTAGGTTTTCTTTAGGTTTATTTGTCATTTTTGCTTATTTTATGTTCAGTTTTCACCGTTCATGACCAGTGATCACCGATCGAACCAAGCACGAGAAACTTGGCGATTAAAGACAGATTAATAGTCCAATCAACGCGTCGAAATTTCTGTGTCGACCCCAACAGCCGGCCCTCTCGAGGATAATGCTGCCCTTGTTCTTGAGGATGGTGCCTCCTCCCAAGCTGTTAGCCAGTTGATTTTGGCTGCTGTTTCTGGTCCCGGTGAGTCTGTTGACTCTCGTGACAATCAGCTGGATGAGCTTGTTTCTCCGGGGTCTATTGGTGTCGTTACAAATTCTTCCAACTCCTTGTTTGGAGCGGTCGTTTATACTCCAAATTCGAATTTGTCTGTGGAAGCTGGGGACCAACCTCCAAATTCTAATTCACTTGTAGTTAATGGTACTGTTAATAGTGAATTACTTAAAAATGGTAATAATGATATTAGTAATAACATAGTTAATAGTGAATTAAATAAGAATGATGATAATAATATTAGTGATGAAATTACAAATGCAAAGCAATAATGACATTAGTTCTATAGATAATGATGATATTAATGACAATAAGTACGAAACTAGTAGTGAAGGGCTGTCATCTGATGGTGAGATTAGTGAGGATGAAAGTGAACTGGAGGCTGGTGATACTCCACCTTCTGGTAGTCATGGTAACTTGGTCAGTCCTAGTTCTAGTGACCTCTCTGCTCCTTTTGAGCAGCGTCGTAAGGGTCCCGCCTCAGTTGCTAAGGCCGGTGGTGCTGGCACTCATGACTCCTCGTCAGGTGCCAGAGTCCCAAGGGCTTCTAGCGCGGGTGTTCAGAAGTCTGGTGCCTCTAGTTCTTAGGGCATCAGTAAGGGTTTGAAGAAGGCTATGAGTGATTGGTCGTATTTGGCTAAACGCCGCAAGTAATCTTGGTGGCGCTGTCCCTTATTACTTTAAACGTCAACGGCCTTCGTGACGTTGACAAGTGTGCTGGTGTTGTTCATTGGCTTCAGTCTCTGCCCTCTCCGGTTGATGTTGTTTGTTTGCAAGAGACCCACTGCACTTCTGTTGAGGAGTGTCCTAGGTGGTTCTCTACTATGGGGCTTTCATGTGTTGCTTCTTTCGGATCCTCGCATTTGTGTGGGACTGTTGTGCTGTACCATCCTCGGTTATCTCTTGCTCGTTCGTGGACGAATGATGTTGGTCGGTTCGTGCAGTATGAGCTTACTTTTCAGACCAAACTCTTTCGCGTGGCTTGTGTTTATGCACCAAATCGGAATCCTGCTCGGGATGATTTTTTTCCAGATGTTGAGTCTCACGTTGACCCTTTGGTTCCTACATTGCTCTGTGGGTACTTCAATACTGTTTTTGACCGTCTTCTTGACCGGGTGGGTTCTGACCCTTTTGATATTCTTCGTGAGAGCTCTGCTTCTCTCTCTCGCCTTTTTTCGTCCTGCTGTGTCCTTCATATTTGGCGTTATTTGCATCCGTCCACTAAGAGTTTTACTTGGTCTCGGTGGAACGGCCTTCTTGCCTCCCGTATTGATCTCTTCGGTGTTCCTTTTTCTTGGGTTTCTGCTGTCTCTGCCTGTGATATCCATCCTTTTCCGTTTTCTGATCACTGTGCGGTTCACCTATCTGTCTCTGTCCCGAGGCCATTGTCCCGGGTCCTGGACTCTGGAAGTTAAATCTGGCTGTTCTCGATGAACTGGAGTATGTTACCTTAATCTCCGATTTTTGGGCCTTTTGGCATTCGCAAGCCTTTGCTTTTTCTTCCTTGGATGATTGGTGGGATGAGGGAAAGCGGGAGATAAAGCGTCTATCTATTGATTACTGTAAGAAGCATGCGTCTGCCAGGAGAGCTGAGAGAGACCTGGTTCGGTTAGCTGATTTCTTGAAACAGGGTGTGGATTCTGGTGCTATGTTCTGTTTTGGTCCTTATCAGTTTACCCTGTCCAGCCTTGCCAAGTTTGACCTAGATGCGGCGCATGGTGCTCAGGTTCATAGTTGTACCCGCTGGGTTGAGGAGGGTGAGTCCTCCTCTTCTTACTTTTTCCGTCTAGTAAAGAAGCAAGGGGCTGAACGTTTAGTGTCTGCCTTACGTCTAGATGATGGTTCTATTGTTAACTCCGCTCCGGATGTTGTTGACTTTTCGCAAATTTTTATTCTACTCTCTTTACTGCGGAAGAAGTTGACCGTGTTTCTCAGGAAGAGCTTTTATCAAAGATCTCTGCGCGTTTGTCTACTGATCAGTTGGAGGTTTGTGAGGGTGTGCTGTCAGTTGATGAATGTTTTTCTGCTCTTAAGGGGATGGCTTATCGTAAGGCTCCTGGAAATGATGGTCTCCCGATGGAGTTTTATGTAAAGTTCTGGCAGGTTTTGGGGGCTGATTTCGTAAGAGTTCTTAACTCTTGCTTCATAAATCGTCGCTTGTCCAAATCTCAGCGTAGAGGTGTTATTTCGTTATCCTTCAAGAAAGGTGATACGCTGGACCCCGGAACTGGAGGCCAATATCGTTGCTTAATGTGCATTAGAAGATTGCGTCCAGGGCGATTGCTGGCCGTCTGTTGAAAGTTTTACATGTTGTGGTGGGTAAGGATCAAATGTGTGGTGTCCCTGGACGTTTCATCGGGGAAAATGTTGCGTATCTGCGAGATGTTGTTGATTATGTTTCTCAGGCTGGGGTCTCTTGCGCCATTCTCTCTTTAGATCAAGAGAAGGCTTTTGACCGTATTGACAGGTCATTCATGAGGGCCACTTTGTCTTCGATTGGTTTTGGCCCTTCTTTTATTGGCTGGATTGATCTATTCTACAGTGGTTCGCAGAGTGCGGTCAATGTCAATGGGCACGTCTCGCCTTATTTCTCTCTGTCTCGTGGCGTTCACCCGGGATGTCCTTTATCGTCTTTGCTTTATGTTATGGTGGCTGAGGTTTTGGCTCGCAATATTCGTTCTCACTCCGACATCTCTGGATTATCTCTCCCCGGTTCTGTGGTCCCTTTGCCCCCTCTGTCGCAGTATGCGGATGATGCTTCTGTTGTGGTCACGTCCGATGAAGCCATCACTGCTACTTTTGAAGTGTATGATCTTCATGAAAGAGGATCTGGGGCTAAGCTCAACCTGACTAAGTGCAAGGGTCTTTGGCTTGGTGCGTGGAATGGTAGGACGGATGCTCCTGTTGCTATTGAATGGGGTTCCGTCATGGTCAAAATTTTGGGGGTTTTTCTTGGCCCTTTTGTCCCTGAGGAAGATAACTGGTGTCCTCGCATCACTGTTGTCCAGAATGGTCTGTCATCGTGGCGTCAGCGATGTTTATCCTACCGCGGGAAGGCTCTGGTGATTAATGCTTTGGCACTTTCAAGGATTTGGTATGTGGCGTCTGTGATTCACATGCCTCAGTGGGTGTTGAGTGAGTTGAACAAGGCAGTTTTTAATTTTATCTGGAATGGCAAACCTGATCTCGTTACTAAGGATGTTATTGCCCAACCTCCCTCAAGTGGTGGTTTTTCAGTCATCAATATTCAGCTGAAGGTCTGGGCTCTTCTGCTTCAATGGGTGAAGCATTTTTTGTTGTCCCGTCAACATGGGTTTCCTATTTTTCGTTCTGGTGTGGCCAAGGCTTTGCTGCCTCTCCTGTTCAGGTTTTATCCAGCCCGCCTTGTTTCTCTGGTTCGGGTGGGCTGCCGGTTTTCTATCTTGCTCTCCTCTCTGCTTGGAGGTCTATTGGTGGTTCTTTCTTGACTAGTCGGGGTGCGCTTTGTGTTGGTCGCGGTTTGATGGTATCCCCTGTGCCTTCGTCATCCACCAAGTCAGCGTATCTTATGCTTTTATCTGATCGTTCTGGGGTTCCTCATTGTGTTGGGAAATTTCTTCCTTCTTTTGGTCCTTTGTATTCGCTTTCCACGTGACGCAAGTTATTTTTCTTTGATATGGACCCGCAGGTGATTGATTTGTCATGGAAAGTTGCCCACAGTGTGTTATACACTGCTTATCGTTTGTCTTCCTTTGGTTAAGCCATTCCTACTGCCTGTTTTTGTGGTCATGCATTGGAGTCTTTGGATCATCTGTTCTTTTCTTGTCCTTTGGCTGTTAGTGTGCTTTCATGGCTCTCGCTGTTGTTTCTGTCTTCTCCATCTTTCGGTCCTGTCCTTCTTCGCCATGTCCATTTTGAGTTCTCGGAAAATGAGTAGCTGTGCGTCCCTCGGTCAACGTGACACCAGAGGACCCTTGTATGGCGCATTTGCAAGCGTCTGTTTTTGCTGACTCTGCTGCTGTATTTGACACCCTTAAAGCACAAGGTTTTGCTTCCTCGTCCATTCGTTGTTTACAACGTCGTCCGACTGGAGAAATGCTAATTACCTTCTCCAGTGTGCATATGAAGAAGGCCTTTGTTGAGAAAAACAGTATTCAAACTTCCCAGCGTCAGTATGCCATTAACGATTCTGACCGCTTTCTCACATTTTAAATATCTACAATGCGCCTCATGAGTTGTCCGACAATGCAATTATTAAGCACCTAGGCCATTCTGTGAAGTTGTCAGCTATCGTCATGGTTGATATCTTCACAATAAATTAGTCTTCAATGGTAATCGTCATTTTCGTGTCAGAATAAATGCGGCTATCCCGTCCTACCTGCGCTTTGGGAAGTTTCTTGGCGGAGCTCTGGCGCGCAAAGCGCGCCTGCGGAGCACCATGGGTAAGTAAATCTACCCATCCCAGAAATTCATATCAAATATGTTGTGTTTATGTCAGTATCGTCCCACACCATTATGATTTTGATTTCAAACTGACCTCAAATGCAAAAATTCAGCCCGTTTTTTTAAAATACAAGCGGGAAAGACCTTTTCTAACCATGGTCATGTGTTGGTCACGCTCCACGTCCAATTTTTATGCTCTGATTGGTTAAAATTTGACAGGTGACTTCATGCCTAAAATCATGCAGCATCTTGAAAGTTGTTTACTTTGACAGCTGAAGCTGACAGAGTTTTCAGTCAACTTGTGATGTTTTTAACTGTCTTTTTCCACTGGATGTAAAAAATAAAATACAGCTGCTATCAAGAGTGTTCTCTTATTCATGGCTGGTTTGTTTACTGGGTTTTTGGTTGAGAAATATGTTGCTTGTCAAAGTAGATAATCTGATTTTAGATGGCATCGTTTTTGTTTTTCACCTTGCTGGATGCGTACAAGAATTACAAGGATTATAACGGCTCAAGCGATCCTTGCCTTACTTGATAGCTTTCAGGAGCTGCATCTCGAAATATGGTAAGCCTGAGTAATTGTTGTATTTATATCTAATTTCATGAAGTCCAGCGGTCGTCAAATACTTCGATCAAATACGTTCAAACATAATTCTAAACTGACTCTGTGACTAGACTGGATCATACTCCAAACTATATTCGAATTCGAATGTCTTGAAATTTTTCGGAAATCAGCTATAAGTGGATAAATAGAAAGAAAAACTTTCCGAAGAATATCAGTTATAATTTTGGCTGTAGAAAGAAAGCTTTGAGCGATTTTCTTGTTGTGAGTCATCTTTGAAAAAAACAAACACTGGGAAACCGGCAGCGTAAAACATAAACTTAATCTTTAAGCTTACCAGTAAAGACTTGAGGATTCTTAGAGACACTTAAATACTCATTTGTTTTTGTGAATGAAAATTGTTGTCTCTGTAAATGTTCTACCGAATTATATTTCTTTATTGATCGTTGGTAGTCTCAAAAGTGTAATTTTCATCGCTTTGCCGTTTGTTTTCAGCCGTTCATAAACATCGCTTGCAGGAGTACTCAAAATGCCAAGTGTATCAAACGCTTTTTAAGATTAGACGTCGTTATAAAACCCTTCATAAAAAATAGACTCAATAAATTCTTTATCATGTTGAAGTGTAACTCTTTTAAAATTTCTTCGCAAATTTGGCGCTTGTCAAAAGTTAGAACCGGCCGGCCGTATAGGTGATTTTGGACATTTTTTGAACGGTTTCGCTAATTAAAAGTCCACGTGTGCTTTGATAGTCCTGAGTATTGAATGAATGTAATTTGTCTTGAAAAATTGTGAGATACTGCATTTTGTACGAGGTCTGTATGATAAAAACCACACCTCATAGTACTTTTTCTCCTCCGATGTGGTGTAAAAAAAAAAAGGAAAGAATGGTTTGCACGCACCCAGATTTATTGGGAAGAATTTGTAAACTTGTCGAACGCAAAGAATTCGGCCGGATTTGTTTTCCAAGAATTTGTTTTCCACGCCTTATCTACTGTGATCAAGAGCCATTATTGCTCTTAAATGTGACTGAAGACTATTTTTTGGGGTGTACATATAAGGCTATATCAACTCGATACAAGATTTGTTTTACTCCAAAATCACTTAGCTTTTCCCTCAAAAGTCACATGAATGTGCCTTTAAGTTAACTGATTTGTGGAATACAAATTATTGTTTGATTTAAGTTATAAATTTATCAATGGGACCTTCGCTTTTAGCTGTGGCTAAATCTATATATTATCCGCCTTTCTCACGATGGTCAACAACATACTTGCCGAAAATGTAATCAACGCGGCCACTTTGCAAACGACTGCGACAACACCGTCTGTTTCAATTGTGACGAGNAAAAAAAAAAAGGAAAGAATGGTTTGCACGCACCCAGATTTATTGGGAAGAATTTGTAAACTTGTCGAACGCAAAGAATTCGGCCGGATTTGTTTTCCAAGAATTTGTTTTCCACGCCTTATCTACTGTGATCAAGAGCCATTATTGCTCTTAAATGTGACTGAAGACTATTTTTTGGGGTGTACATATAAGGCTATATCAACTCGATACAAGATTTGTTTTACTCCAAAATCACTTAGCTTTTCCCTCAAAAGTCACATGAATGTGCCTTTAAGTTAACTGATTTGTGGAATACAAATTATTGTTTGATTTAAGTTATAAATTTATCAATGGGACCTTCGCTTTTAGCTGTGGCTAAATCTATATATTATCCGCCTTTCTCACGATGGTCAACAACATACTTGCCGAAAATGTAATCAACGCGGCCACTTTGCAAACGACTGCGACAACACCGTCTGTTTCAATTGTGACGAGATCGGACACGTTGCGGAAACCTGTCCTAACCAGGAGAATTGTTGTATATGCAAGGAGCCATCTCATCGAGCTCATTTTTGTCCTTACTCTTGGTTCCGTCAATCTTCTCCTGCTCGGTCGCCTGTTCCGTACTCACCTCAACAGGAAAAGGATCGCGGACAGGAATTTCAGCAAGAATTGCCTGCGGGAAATTCAGCGTGTATCACAACCGGAACAATCCTTGCCCTTGCGTGACGAGCCTACTAACCCCCCCTCTGCTGCTGCTCCTAGTCCAGAGGACTCGATTTTGGATTCCCAAGGCCTACTCATCCTACGTCAGCTCTTTGGAGATGCTGATGATTTTGATCTGTTCGTTTCTGAGTCCCCCGATCCTGTTCATCCTGCTGACCATGCTCATGAGGTCATGCCGCGTCCTTCTATGTGGAGGACGGTTACTCTTCATGTCGGGCGGGTGCCTGAAGTCATCTGTCGCTCTGAGTTTGTTCTCATGCTCAAGGAGCGTTTTGGTTCATGGAAACTGCTGGAAGTTCAGTTCTTGCCGGGCCTCAAAGCCCAGCTTACCTTTGATTCAGAAGAGGCTTGTGTTATTATTGAGAAAAATACTAAAAGTGATATTGGTGGCTATCCATGTCAAGTAGTTGGGGGGAGGGGGGTCCGAGGGGGGAAAATGTCTTCGTTTTCCACCTTAGCTATGAATTGGACAATGAGGCCGTCAAAGTGGCCTTACAGTGTTTTGGTCCGGTGCACTCTGTGCGCCACCAGCATCACCCGCATACCTCTATTCATACCGGGACGCACATTGTTCACATGATTCGTGGGGCGCATATCCCAGTAGTTATAGAAATGGTTATCCTAGCGCAGTCTTCGAATTCCCAGAATTGCATTGAAAAAACTAATAAAATCCCAGAATATGCAAGGGATTTTAAAAATGAATACCTTTTTATAAGAGGGATTAATAAGGAATTGGATGATTTTACAAATCAATATCTTTCAGATTGTAGTGAACTTTTTGTTTCTGGTTATTCGGATAGAATTAACTTATTTATAAAAATTTTTTTAAAAGCTCAAGAACTTAATTATCTTAAGGATACTAGTTGTTTTATTTTTAAAGAGTGTGATGTCGAAAATATAATATTTTTATTTGATAGAATGTATTTTGATTTTGAAGATGATGAATTTGTTGATGGTCATCCTGATGATTATCAAGGATATAGAGATTTTTATGAGTTGTTTTGTAAATTTTACGATAAAATAAATACTGATTAATTGAAACTTAAAGTCTTATTATCTAATAATAAGGATAATAAGACTATCATGTCTAACCAATCAGTTGATGGTTTTCAGGGTTCTCAACCCTTTATAACAGATAAGCAATATCAGAATTTATCTTTGGCAGAATTAAAACATATATTAGAAGAAGAAAAAGAAAGTCTTAAGACAAATTATAAAGAATTACATGAAAAACAAAAATTAATAAGAGATATTAAAAAATTGAAAAAACTTAATAAGAAAGTAAAACAAGGTATTGATATAAAAAAAGAAAGGAAAAAAACCAAATCCAAATCCAAACCTAAGAAGATAGCTTTCGTTAAAACAACGGGTCCTTCTAAAATTAAAAAGATAAAATCATTTGATGAGTATTTTCAGGAATGTATAGAGAATAAAGAATTTCCTGCAGATACTCCTCCTTATTTTCGTGAAGCTCTTGAGAGGGCTATTAAGGAATATGATTTAGGATTTGTAAAAGAAAAATCAGCTTTTGAAGACTTGGCTGTTAAATATATTTTTGAAGGGGATCCTAGTCTAACTCCAATTGAATATTTTAATAAAGTTTATTCATCTTTAGAATATTTTTTTACTAATCATCGAAATATTAAATTTAGTATGGTATTGGTTTGTTTAATGGAACAACAAATACTTATTAAAGATAAGGGGGTTGTTGGATTAAATGAAAGTAAAGCTTACTTTATCTCAGGAACACATAATAATCTTGAATCAAAAAATATAAATAAATTAACTGATAAGTGTGTTAAGAAAATTATTAAAGATTTAGAAGTATATCAAAAAAATGGAAGTGGATGGTATTTTAAAGAAGTGGTTCAACTTGAAATTCATATTGTTGAGTATAATCTAACAAAGGGTTCATCTTATATTCCTCTTCCAGATTGGATATCAGATAAAAAAGCAATAGTTAATATTGAAAACAAAGATGAGAAATGTTTTCTTTGGTGTATACTTAGATATCTTCATCCAAGAGATAGAGATGAAGAAAGATTAACAGGTTTAAAAGAATATGAAAATTCTCTTAACACCAAAGGAATTAGTTTTCCTATGAAATTAAGAGATATTTCCAAATTTGAAAAACTTAATCCATCTCTTCCAGGAATCAATGTTTTTCAGTTAATAATAATATTTTTTATCCTTTGAGAATGGCAGAGAGAGATTGTTTAAATACTATTGATTTGTTCCTATATGAAGGAGATGGCGTTTCACATTACTCACTAATTAAAAATTTTAATCGTTTGATTAAGTCTCAAAAAACTAAAAGTAAGAATGGAGAAATATTTATTTGTAAAAAGTGTTTTACACATTACACTAAAGAAGAATTATTACAAAAACATATATTATATTGTTCAAATAATGAAACAGTTTCTGTAAAAATGCCTCCACAAAACACAATGTTAGGTTTTAAAAATTACCACAAACAACTTCCAATCCCTTTTGTAGTTTACGCAGATTTTGAATGTTTTACTAAACCAATGAATACTTGCAGTCCTAATCCAAAAGAATCGTATAATTACAACTACCAAAAGCATGAACCATCAGGATTTTGTTTTTACATTAAAGGAATAGACCCTAATATATCATTTAAACCAATTACTTACACAAAAACTAATAGTGATGATAATGTAGCTGAGATATTTGTTAGTAAACTTGCAAAAGTAACTAATAAAATATATAATGATTTTTATCGTCGACCAATACCTCTTCGTTTAACAAGACAAGAACAAAAATCCTTTGATGAAGCAGAAAATTGCCATATTTGTAAGAAAGAATTATTAGATGATAAAGTTAGAGATCATTGTCATTTTACTGGAAAGTATCGTGGAGCTGCACATAACAGCTGTAATCTTCAATGTCGCAAACCAATGATTCTTCCAGTTATATTTCACAATCTTCAAGGATATGATGCTCATTTGTTTATAAAACAACTTGCTTGTTTACCAGGTGAGTTAAACTGTATTCCATCTACGGAAGAAAAATATATTTCCTTTTCTAAAAAGATTAAGGTTGATGAGTATAAATCTAGACGCAATGGAGATACTATTCCATTATATTTCGAAATAAGATTTATTGATTCATTTAAGTTTCTTCAAACGATTCTTGCTAATCTAGTTGGTAATTTACAACCAGATGATTTCCATAATACAAAAGAAGTATTTAAGGAAAATATAGACCTACTAACTCGTAAGGGAGTTTATCCATATGACTATGTTTCCTCAATGGAAAAACTATCTGAAACACAATTACCTCCAAAAGACTCCTTTTATTCAAAACTAAATGATGAAGATATATCAGATGATGACTATCAACACGCTATCAATGTCTGGAATACTTTTAAATGTAAAACAATTAGAGATTATCACAATCTTTACCTAAAGTCTGATGTCCTACTTTTGGCAGATGTATTTGAAAACTTTAGGAAAACTTGTCTCAAACATTACAACCTAGATCCAACTCATTATTACACATCTCCTGGACTAGCTTGGGATGCATGTCTAAAAGAAACAGGTCAGGAATTACAGTTACTACATGATTATGATATGTTGATGATGTTTGAAAAAGGAATTCGTGGTGGAATATCTCACATATCAAAAAGATATGCAGAAGCAAATAACAAATATATGAAAAATTATAATCCTGGTAAGGAGACTAGTTATATTCAATATCTTGATGCAAATAATCTTTACGGTTGGGCAATGTCTCAACAACTACCAACACAAGGATTCAGTTGGATGAAAAATATAACAAAAGAAAAAGTAATGGATATCTTGGATAAAGCAAATCATAGTATGTCAAATCGTGGAAGAAAAGGATATATATTTGAAGTTGATTTGGAATATCCTTCCAACCAATGGGAAACACATAATGACTATCCACTTGCACCTGAGAAGATGAATGTTAATGGTGTTGAAAAACTAATTTGTCATTTTAAACCAAGAAAAAACTATGTTGTACATTATCGAAATTTAAGACAATATCTTGAGATGGGAATGAGAATAACTGCTGTTCACAGAGGAATATCATTCTATCAGAGTTCTTGGATGGAACCTTACATAAGAAAAAATACAGAACTTCGAAAAACAGCAGCTAACAGTATTTGGAAAAACAATAGAAAACATAAGAAAAAGACAAAATATTTTTATTATTGATGATCGTAAAAAAGCTGTAAAATTAACAAGTCGTCCTAACTTTGATAGAGCAACAATATTTGATAAAAATCTTATTGCGGTTCATATGAAAAAAACAGAAGTGTATTTTAACAAACCAGTATATGTTGGACAAGCAATACTTGATCTGTCAAAAACATTAATGTTTGATTTTCATTACAACTATATTCAAAAGAAATATAAACACAAGGCTGAGTTATTGTTTACAGATACCGACTCGTTGTTGTATCAGATTCATACAGATGATTTTTACAAAGATATATCCTATGATATTCAAACCAAGTTTGACACTTCAGATTATCCTCCTGATCATCCATCTGGTATTCCAACAGGAGTTAACAAAAAAGTAATAGGAATGTTTAAAGATGAAGTAGCAGGAAAACAAATTACTTGTTTTGTTGGATTGCGACCTAAACTTTACAGTTTTAGAATAGAAGAAGATAAAGAGGTAAGAAAGTGTAAAGGAATGAAGAAAAATGTTGTAAAAAAGACAATGGATTTTGATGATTATGTTGATTGTTTATTTTTGGGTAAAAAGCAAATGAGATCGATGAAAATAATAAGAAGTGAAAATCATGATATATATTCGAAAGAAGTTAATAAAATTGCTCTAAGCAATGAAGATGATAAACGCGAGGTGATGTTTAATAAGATAAAAACTCTTGCTTTAAGATAATAAGATATAAATAATAAATGATTTATACAAAAGAAGAAATAGAAAAATATCTAGAAATATTAAGAAGTTATAATACTCAATCAGAAGGGGAAAAAAATACAAAAGTTAGATGTAGGAATTGTAAAAGCGATAGTTTCTTAGTTGATACAGGTTATAATATTTGTGATTCCTGTGGGACTACTAATGGTCATGTTCTTGGTTATTTTGACTTGAAAGAGTACGATCGATTTCATTTTCGAAAGAAGAGTATTTATCAGAGAAAGTATCACTATGAGAAAAAAGTTAATCAAGTTTCAAAAAGAATAAATCTATCTGATAATGAAAAGTGTGAACTTTACAATAAACTAATGAATATAGATAACCATGTCATGGAAATACTAAACAAACAATTTTGTAGAAAGAGAATGATAAGCATTTTTTATTTAATCAAAAAACTTTTGGAAGAAATGGGTTGTGAAAAGAGCAAACTAGTTTATCTTAAGATTAGTTCCCAAACTATGGAGAATTATAAAAAGTGGTGGGGCAGTTACAAATCACTCCTTTGTGAAAGCACCAGTAAATAATTCCAGTTAGATAACCAAGTACTTCACATTCTTTAAATTGTGTGTTAATTGTATATACGCATCCTCTACCAATTCTATAATGTTTCCAGAAAGCCTTGAAAGCGAGACTAAATATTAAATGATTGGTAATGATATTTGAATCTGAATTTAGGTAATGTCTTGCTTCTGTCAGTCTGTAAATAATTTGGTTTATATCTAGTTTTTGTGTAAAATACTTTGAATAGAGAAACTGGTAAACAAGACAAGCTTTCATGAAGTTATCTGGATAAAATTGTGTTTTATAAGTTGGAAAGTAGAAATTTACATATGCTACAATTGACTTGATCATTTCTATATTATGTACATTAATCTAATTAACACTCCATCTTCAGTTGTAAACTTCCAACGTTGATTAACATTGTATTGAACGGCTGGTATAGTTAATGTTGAGCTGTAGTTACTTATTTTAACTTTTGTAACATTTGTATCAAAATTTTCTGTTAGCCATAAAACAATTATTTTTCCATTAAAACTACTTAGCATGGTAAAATTTTGAGTTGTTTTGTTGATAGTTAAAGTTACTTTATTGTTTGATTTATCATAATTCAATTTTACTAAAATATTATTGTTTGTTGATAAATATTTAGTTAGGGTAAAACTCCTATTTCTCCAATAATTAAAAACAATACATAAAGTAGATTTCGAAGAATGCGAAGGAGAAAAAGTGACATCATAACCATGTTTATTTATTTAATTGACGTGTACATTTAGTTCGTTTATTAACGTCTTAATTTTACTTTGCGTTATTTTCCTCACTTATACATTGTCCGTGACTGTGCTCACATGGTGGGTGGCTCCTCCTAAAATGTTCTGCAATTGGTATAGGATTTAATGGAGCCGAAACCAATTGTGGAATTGCACGCATTTTAGGCATCCTACTGATGAACAGTTGTGACCCGTAGATATATATTTTTTAGCAACTAAGATAATTTGCAGTCTGTCTACTTTGAATTAGTAGCAATAGTAAAATGAATATTACTGAAACTAGTGATAGAAGTAGTGATTCTAATTCGTAGGATGGTGAAAATCGCAGTAATGCCTCCATTGGTGGTGGTCCTAGTGGTGACGACTCCTCTGTTGACTCTGTTTACTCTACTGATCGTGATGCATTTGTGGTGCCGCTGCCGGTTAAGCGGGCCACAGGGAAACCCCCTGTTGTGGTGTCTCCCGGTAGGTCATGTTCTGTGTTGCCTGTAGCTACAGGTAGGAGCAGGTCGTTCCCTGCAGTGTGAGTTTTCTTATCATGATCAGTCTTTTCGTGTAGTCTCTTTATATGTCCCGAATCGCAACTCTGCAAGGAATGAGTGTCTCAGGCAAATTGCTGATGAGCTTGATCCTACTGTCCCCACACTTCTTTGTGGGGATTTCAACACAGTTTTCGACCGTTCTGTAGATCGCAGAGGCTCTCTTGTGCAAGCTGTGATTTGAAAAAAGTGATGTCACAAGCGGTGATTTGAAGTCACAGAGCAAAATGGAAAATTACCACGCGCTCTCGGACCAACACGCGATCTATGTCCAAGCTATCCTATTATGAAAATAAATTACCCCACAACTTGATTACTTCGAAGAATAATTCGGCGTAACTTTGGAACTGACAGTAGAGGTACATTCCAGCAAGCGGTAAAACAGCAAAAATAATGAAGAAATTCCACGAAAAATAAAATAAAAGAAAAAGCCTACAACACGGGGTATTCCCAGGCGGTCACCCATCCAAGTACTAACCCCGCCTGACAGGGCTTAACTTCGGTGATCAGACGATAACCGTTGTTCTCCCTGTGGTATGGTCGTAGGCCAGAGAAAAGAGAGAAAATTTGACTTTTTATACCGAGTATGGTGAACAAGTAAGCGAGGCATTAGTTGATTACCCTCCTCAGGCAACCCTGACCTTCAAAACAGGGTATGAAGTCTTCCTTTGTAGCTGTAAATAAATTTATGCGGCCACTTACATTTTGCTTCGCGGGCTTTAAAAACCATTTAGGGCCTAGTAAGCGGTCCCAGTCTACCTCGTTTTCGTGTTCCCTGTCCTCCTATAGGTTAATGGCTGAGCTGTTAGGGCCTTGGTACCGTGTAGACACTATTTGATCCCTGTCTACACACACTGTAGTGTCCTGAAGAGCTTGGCCAAGTATCTGTGCTCGGACTGAGCCAATGATATCTCCCTGTCGTTGCACAGAGTGCTAGATGTATCATGGGATGCGACAGTATTGCAACCACCATATCCAGGATGGGGAAGGAGCTAACCACCCTAGGTCCTGAGGACCTTAAGGGGCATCGCTTCTTGGCATTTTGGCGAAGCCAAGTCAAGAGGTCCCCCTAGATTTTTTTTCTTAGGTCGTTAAAAGAGGAGCCCTTCTCTCATCCATTGAGATGTCCAACACTTATGCTCCCAAGGTTGTGGGAGAGCCGCTTATTCAAGTGATTTCAGAAAATGTCAATGAACCCAGTACATCGCCTGAGCTGTTTACCCCCCCATCACCGTCGCCCCCCCCTCCTGGAGAGCAAAAATCTGATGGATGGTTCTGATCGCCCCGCGGAATTACCTGAAGCATTGCTAAGACTCCAGAATTCTGGGCATCATTTACAAGTTGTGACATGCGCTTCATGGAATGTGCGAGGGAACAACGTTCGAATTCGCAAGGAGCTCTCTGTTTGTTTTTCGGTCGATTCAGTCAAGATATTATCATTGGCTTTCATAAAGCGGGAATTGATATCGATGATATCACTTCAATTCAGCGTAGAGCGAGTAACAACTCGTGGGTGGTGACCTTTGGTAGTAAAGCTGTTAATGACGCCGCTCTTAACGAGCACTCCATTAGTATCACCGCCTGCTCCGTTCTTCTTGGGGATTGTGAGAATGAAGTCTCAATTGTTAAGATCTACAAGTTCCCTGATGAGATGCCTGACTGTCGTTATTGGCCGTTTAGCTCACTACGGCAGAGTAATTTCCTTTCGACGCGACCGCGTGGCGGACACCATTTTCAACGGTGTTCGTATCGCGAGAATGTTTATTGAGCGACCTATTCCCGCTCAGACCTTCATTGCCGGCGAGTTCGTACGTTTTTGGTACCCGTCCCAACTCAAGACTTGCCGCAAATGCAGTTCAGAAGACCATCTCGCGGCCGCCTGCAAGTCCCAACGTTGTTTTAATTGCGAGCGACACGGCCACTGCGCGGAGTAATGTGATATGCCGGCACTCTGCCGCGTGTGCCTTGCTGACAGTCATGAGACCTCAACCTGTCCTTTTATCTATTACAGCTGTAACGTGACCAGTGCTAAGTCTGCCAAACCCGCTGAAAAGTCTTACTCTGGGGCTGCCAAGAACGGAAGACGTGACATGACGCTGCGAGGAAGGCCGAGGAGGAAAGCAGCCGCCACAAGCGCGAGGAGGAGGAGCGCATGAGGCGCGAGGAACGTACATGCAAGGAGAAAGAGGAGTGGGATAGAAAGGAGAAAGAGAGGAAAGAGAAGAAGCGAAAGGAAAAAGAACGAGAAGAGAAAGACTGTGAAGATCGAAGGGAGAGAAGAAAGCATGACAAGCACTACGACGGAAGGCATAAGGATGAGGATGACTACAGAAGGGATGAGAGGAGCGATTGCAAACGGGATCGTGATCGCTTTTGTTGGTCGTGCGATCGTTCCTCTCAGTACCACCGCGATTATAGTGGGAGCGAGTCTGGCTGTGAGAGCGAGGGATGGACCAAAGTGTCCCATCGGAAAGGCAAGCATAAGAGTAAGTCATACTAATTTATTTTAATTAACTACCTTCACATATAACCCACTTAGAATTCTTACTATTAATGTTCGTGGATTAGGCACTACCAGTCCACACACTATTGGTTAGATATCTTTTGCAGGTTGCCCAGTGGAATCCAAGAATTAAAATCATCACTACAACCCAACCATTTCACCAGAGCTTGTTTTTTCTTATAATCCCTGCCAATGACCTTTTCAATGCGAAATACATGCTGTTTTGCTGGCAGCAATTCTGGTTCATAAAAGCTGCCTTGCATTTCCTCATTATTGAGATCCTTTAATCTGTAGGTAATTGGGTTTGTGGATTGGATCTTATCAATCAGGAATATCTCCTCAGTCCAATTAGGTGTGTACTCTTTATCAAACACCTTTCTCTTGTACTTACTTGTTCTTACTTTACCACCAATCTTGCATTTGGGTTTAGATGACAATTGCTTCATATCACCATACAGATTGTAATACACAGCACTTTCATTCTTCTTCTTACTAGCTTCTACAGGTGTCATTTTAATAGAACTGTGTTTGGTATTATCATATTCCTCCAATATTTCTGGTAGTATGCCTAAATATAGGGTATTACCCTGGACAGTAAACTGCTTCCACATTCTGGTTTTAATTGTACGGTTCCATCTTTCACATACACTAGATTTTTCCTCATTTTCGGTTGAGTATAGTGTTATACCATTCTTTTCCAACAGTTCTTTCATATTTTTGTTACAATATTCTTTCCCCTTATCAGTCCAAAGATATTGTGGCTTACGTCCCTTTTTGAAGATAGTTTTGAACGCTTCTGTGACAGTTTCCCCTTTCTTATCCTTCAATGGGACAATCCAGCCATATTTGGAGAATAGATCTAGTACCATGAGAAGATATCTGTAACCCTTGTTCCATTTGCTGAACTGTTGCATTTCAAGCAGATCTGAGCACCAAATTTTGTCAATACCGGTTGTAATAACACGCCGCAGAGTAAAGTTGCGTTTTATTGGTTTATGTAATTTGTCCGCTAATTGCTGTTACCAACTGATACCCGACGGCTTTTCTAGTTTAAACCAAGACCAAGTTTCTGTTTTGTGTTTATTAGATTTCTAGCTAACCAGACCAGTGACCCCATTGTCGTTCATTATAGGGCATGGCGTCTAACGATTTTACCATTTTGCGGTCAGCTTTATTTTTGCACTTTCGGTTATCACGCAAACACTATAATCAATATCATGTTGCATGGCCACTACATCGGTTGGCCCAGTTGGTTGATCATAAATGTCTAATATTTCACCAGTTTCTGGATTGTATCTTACTTGGTTTTCGAGATCGTTGTAAGGCCCGCTGTACCTGTGGCCTGGTTAGGTCCATTCTCTTGCTGGTCTTGGTAATTTTCCAATAGCCTTGTGAATATCCAAAGCGCCTCCATCAAGATCTTTCATGTTTGTTTTTTGTTGGTCGTATTTTGGTTGATAATTGGTCAAGAGCTTGAGACCCCACATTGTGTATTACTGGATTCAATTTGTCCAGAGCGTAGTCGATAGCTTTTTTCTGTAACTTTTTATTGCATAATGCTTCTGACCCATCTCAACTGCTTTTTTACCCATGCAAGGGAGCCCGTGACATACAAACGCATCAAGAGCAGTACCAGCTAATGTGTCCATTACGCCTGCCCCAAGGACAGGCTGATCTACTTTCCCTTCTATACAAACTTAAACTTTTTTATTCCGCATTCAGCACAAGTGCACCAAAACATAAGTCTACCATTTTTAGCAGTTTTGTAACCCAAAGGTTCTACACATTCTTTTTGTTTCTTCTGTTTAACACAATAAGATTTCACCATTATTATATTATATAATTATTGTTTAATTGCTATCAATACTGTCTGGAACATAAGTATCATGGCTGCTATCTGACTCATAATCACTCTCACTCAAGGGCTGACAGTTGCAGCGCTCGAAACATCCATATTGATTCACATAATGTGGAGTAACTTCTTGGCAATAAACAAAGAACTTTTCAGACATTCTATATAATAGGAATACATAAAATAGTTTATCAGAAATTGGTGATTCATCATTTGATCTGTGAAACTGAATTTGGGGTTGTGTATAACGTCCACTAATGATTGTTATAGTGTATCATTACAATTGCTATAGTGTCAGTAATTCATACTGAGCCCGCAGTATGTATGCGGTTACCGTAAAACCCATGTGCTCTGGGATTAATACAGTTGTCTGTTTGCCCGAGAACATAACATTTCTGGCGACGAGAAATCGAGCGACCATGCCAAGCCTCGGCAAAATAGAGGAGTTCAATTCAGCTACTACAAGCATCAATCGCTACCTAGAGCGACTGGAACAATATTTCGTGGCAAACAGCGTTCCCGCCGATTCTGCAGAGTCACACAAACGAAGAGCAATCCTAATTTCTGTTATTGGCGCCAAGGCCTACAATGTTCTTTCGGATCCCTGCTCACCGACTTCTCCTTCTGAGAAAACGTACGCACAGCTCACCACTATTCTAAAGAATCATTTCGCACCGAAGAAACTGGTTATCGCCGAAAGATACCGATTCCACAATTGTACACAACACGAAGGCAAGAGTGTCACAGCGTTTGCTGCTAACCTGAAACATCTGGCTTCAACTTGCCAGTTCGGCACTCACCTGAATGAAGCTTTACGCGATCGTTTCATCTGTGGTCTTAGCAGTAAGGAGACACAAAAGAAACTGCTAACCGAGGAACACACTTTCGATGCAGCACTGAAGGTCGCCCTCGGCGCCGAAGCTGCTGAAAAGGATGTTGCTGCGTTCTCGCAAGAAAGTTCAGCTTCTGTTAACAAAGTCGACTCTGGTAATCGTCAAAGTTTTCAGCCTACCCAACATCGTAAGGGTCCTGGCAAGCGAGGCAAGTTCAACTCCTCTGGTAGCAACATTAAAGACCCCTTGGAGTGTTTGAGCTGCGGAAAAACAGGGCACCCACGTTCTCAGTGTAAATACAGAAATTACACATGTCATTCTTGCGGTAAAGTTGGTCACATCTCAGAGGCATGCAAAGGGAAACCTCAGAAAGTGCACCAGCTGGAAGGATCAGAACCCCCTCAAACTATGTCCTCTCGATGATTCGGTTGACCCTTTTTCTCTCTCGCTGTACAATCTGAGCTCAGGCCAGCAAGGTATTGAGATACCCGTTGAACTGAACGGAACCTCTCTTCTAATGGAATTAGACACTGGTGCAGGCGTCTCAGTTATTTCAGAAGAAACTTACAAGAAACACTTCAGTGGCACACCCCTCATGCCGTCCAATACTCGCCTACGTGCATACACAGGACACCCACTCAAGGTACACGGGCAACTTATGGCACACCTAAAGTACCAAGACCAGAGCGCCAATGTCCCACTTCTTGTTGTTGAAGGCTCAGGCCCATCCCTTTTTGGAAGAGACTGGTTGTCTCAAATAAGACTCAGCTGGACAAAGATCTGCAATATTCGTGTATCGGAGACAGACCTCTCACAGGGCGTGGCTTCCCAGTTGAGAACAACTATCTTAAATCACCCTAACGTTTTCAAACCAGGCCTCGGAACTGTCAAAGGAATCACAGCCAAACTAGAGATGAAACCTGACGCATGTCCAAAGTTTTGCAAGGCTCGTCCTGTCCCCTATGCTCTTCAAGAAGTTGTTGAAGCTGAATACAACTGTCTCGAGTCAGAAGGAATTGTTGAACGGGTGGAATTCAGTGAATGGGCTACCCCAATGGTTCATGTCCCCAAGGCAGACGGAACTACACGTTCTTGTGGTGATTATGCCGTTACTGTCAACCCCCAGCTTCACGTCCCTCAGTATCTGATTCCCCTCCCGAAGGATGTCTTTTTGAAACTGCGGGGTGGACAACGTTTCACTAAGCTCGACTTGAAGAGTGCCTACCAGCAGCTCCCTTTGGATCCTGAAAGCCAGCAGTTTGTTACCATCAATACGCACAGGTCTTTACCGCCACAAAAGGCTACCCTTCAGTATTGGGTCTTCACCCGCTGTGTTCCAGCGCACTATGGACATCATCCTTCAGGGTTTAGATCATGTGGTGAGTATACAAGATGACATTCTTATTACTGGCAAGGATGACGACGAACACATTAAGAACTTAGACAGCGTCCTCAGCCGTCTAGACCATTATGGCTTGCGACTTCAGCTAAGCAAATGCAAATTCATGCAGAAATCAGTAACGTACATGGGCTGTGTCATCTCTGCCAGCGGAATTTCTCCTACAGAGGAAAAGGTCGAAGCCATCAAACAAGCACCACGCCCTGAGAACCTCACCGAGCTGAGAGCCTTCCATGGAATGATCAATTATCATGGCAAGTTTATCCGAAACCTGAGCTCTATCCTCCAACCACTCAATCAGCTTCTCCAAGGTAACCAAGAATTCAAGTGGTCCCCCCGGTGCGAGGAGGCATTCAAAAAGGCCAAGGACTCACTCTCATCTTCTCATGTCCTGGTTCATTATGACCCCAGCCTTCCTGTTATTCTTGAGAGCGATGCAAGCCAGTATGGCATCGGAGCAGTCATATTTCACCGCTTCCCTAATGGTGATGAGCAACCTATCGCATATGCCTCCAGGTCCTTGAACTCGTCTGAGAAAAACTACAGTCAGATCGAGAACGAAGGTCTTGCCATTACTTTGGGGGTCACCAAATTTTACATGTATCTCTTCGGACGCAAGTTCACGCTGCGAACTGATCACAAACCCCTGTTGAAAATATTTGCTCCGGATTCTGCGACTCCAGTTTTAGCTGCTGCTAGACTGCAACGCTGGTCCCTTCTTCTCTCTTCGTACCACTATTACGCAGAATGGTTGGCCTATTTATCGCTGCAACGATCCTGACCTCAAGCCATACTTCACACACAGACACGAACTCTCTGTGGAGCAAGGCTGCCTTATGTGGGGCCTACGAACTGTCATACCTCCTTCTTTAAGACAAACCATCCTGACAGAATTACATGAAGGCCGTCCTGGAATTGCACGCATGAAATCAATAGCCCGCAGTCATGTTTGGTGGCCGAAAATAGATGAGGAGATTGAAAAGGTTACCCGTGAATGTCAACCGTGCAACAAAACCCGCAGGGCTCCTCCAGCCTCACCGCCTCTCCCATGGTCTTGGCCGACAGCTCCATGGCAACGTGTTCACATAGATTTTGCCACCCATCAGGCAAAACGTTACCTTATCATGGTCAACGCCCACTCTAAGTGGCCTGAAGTGATTGGTCCCATGAAAACAACAACAGCCGACTCAACCATTAATGCCATGCGTAATATTTTTGCAAGATATGGTCTACCAACCCAAGTAGTCAGCGACAACGGCCCACCCTTCCAGTCTAAAGAGTATGAAGAGTTCCTGCGGCAAAATGGCATTCAGAAAATTTTAGTCTCCCCTTACCATCCCTCTTCAAATGGGTTGGCTGAGCGGTTTGTGCAGACTTTCAAGTATGCAATGGAGTCATCAGCTGACGATCCCACAAGCTCTATACAGCGACGGATTCAGACTTTCCTCTTATCTTACAGAAGCACACCACACGCTACAACCGGCTCATCCCCTGCCAAGCTATTCTTACAGTGAGAACTTCGCACTCGATTGTCTTTGGTTACACCTGATATTGGATCTCGCGTGGCCAGCCAGCAAGACAAAATGAAGTGCAATCACGACAAGTTTGAAAAGTTCAGGAAGATAGCTGTAGGCGACTGTGTTCTCGCACGTGACCACCTATCGGAACACAAGTGGCAAGCTGGTACTGTCGTACAGCAAACATCACCTGCTTCCTTTCAAGTCCAGTTGAATGATGGACGGAATTGGAGGAGACATGCTGACGATGTGCTTCAAAACACCCCTAGTTCTACTATGACTCATTCCAGCTCTGTCGAAGTTACATCTGATCAATCTACTGAAGGTGTTACTTCTCCCAGTGTCGAAAGCAGTACACCCCCACCTGAAGAATCAGAGTCAGTGGAGTCGCCAAGCACACTCACTCCTCCCACCCCTGTTCCGCGTCGGTCCAAACATGCTACTAAACCACCACAGAGACTGATTGAAGAAATGGACTAAAACCATCAAGTCTCTCCTTAATGACATTGAACAGTGCTTCTAATAGTTTTGTCCTTTTCTTGAACTGGCCCTACTGGCCCCACTGGCGCTCGTGGTGCTACTGGTGCATCAGGCACTGGTTTTAATCTCACAGCAGATGGGAGTTATGATATAAAAAGCAAAAAACTGACAAATATGACTAAAGGGACTGCTTCCAATGATGCCGTAATAAAACAGCAACTTGATGCTAAACTATCACTTTCTGGTGGATTAATGACCGGCAATTTGGATATGAATAGCAAATGGATATACAATGTAGTACAACCAAATGGTGATAAACAACCAGCTACAAAAATATGGTCAGAAAATAAATTCCTGGATAAGTCCAGTGGAGTTATGGCTGGACCACTAAATATGTCCAATAATAAAATCACTAATCTTGCTAAACCAACTGATGATAAAGATGGGGTTAATAAGAAATACATAGATGATAATCACTTGAAACTATCTGGTGGCACTGTAAGTGGCCATATAATATTAAACAATGCTATCCTTACTTCACAATATCAAGCAATAAGCCGGTCCACTGGAAATGCATTTTTTGTGCAACTTACTAATTCGTATGTTTACCACAAATTTAATATGGTTAAAAACAAGATTATTCATCTTGGAGACCCAACTGATGCTACTGATGCTGTTAATAAGCAGTATTTGGAAAAATATCATGTTAAGCCCAGCCATTACAATAATGAATTCAAGTACCTGATGACTAATAAATTAGCATTGACTGATCTTCAGGCGGATAGTTTTGACATTACTAAAATTGATAGTTTAATGCCCCAAGATGGTACCTACCATCAATACAACCGCAAAGTTCTATATACAACCATTATAAAGGATCAGCAAGGAGGATACTCTTATAAAATGGGAATCAATTGATATCAACTTGATAAAGATAAAGACTATACTCTCCGTATTGAAATCCTCAATTCAGATTACCAATTATGGCATAAATCAGTTGTTACAACTACATCAAAGGGGGTATCAGTTGCTGGTTTTACAGTACAAAAGTTTTCTCACCGGTACACAAATAGTAGTGGGAACACTGCATATATGTATTATATCAAAATAACTGAAAACTTTCAAAAAACTGTATCAGATACATTTTACATTCTGGATCTTTGTTAATATACCCCAATCAGGCATTGATCTCAATACTTATTCAAAAAATTGGACAAAAAACTGGATGATTGCTTAAGGTGTTTTCGGAAAAGTGTCATCAATTGATCCCCAAAAAACATATGATTATCATACGGCATTAGATATTAAGCCGACTGAAGTTGTTTACAATGTTGATCTGGATATGAACAGAAAGAAAATATTAAACATTGCTCCAGATAAAACTAAAAATAATTCGGCAGCTACTGTAAAGATGGTCAAAGATTTGGAGACAAAATTGAGCCCTCATACAACAAATAATGCGTATAGGGAAATATTTGAGGAATTTTATGATTTCAGTAATGCTGGTATTTATAAAATTGAAGATACAGGAGAACCATCAGGTATGATAATTAACAGGTTACTTCCTAACATATATTTCACAAATATGAATATTGCCAATATCTGGGAGGGCGGATTGAGGATGCAATATAAACCAGTGAGTTTAGGATTATTTGGTAAAAGGAGCTTTACTCTTTGTGTTGTTATGCGACTATGGCTGAACAGATCCATGTATATTAAAACGTTCATGAGAAATGAAGCTGATGACAAACCACATTTAATTTATGACAAAACAACAAAGAAGTTAACACTGCAAACTAATGGTCTGAAAGCTGGGTCAACTAACGAAACTTCTATCACATTACTAAATAGTTTCAATGATAAACGGGTTGTGTTTTGGTTAACTAAGAAAGGTACGGGGGTGACCTAACAGTAAAGGCATCAATTAGCAATCATTCTGCAACACTAACACTAACATCAGCTTTAGAATCTCAGAGTAACTACACATTCAGAATATCCTCAGAAGATGCAGTGATCTATAAAATAATGTACACTCCAAACTTTCATGACCCGAATTCTATCGAATTTCATCAAATAATGGTTCAAGAGAAATTGAACGGTTCATATCTTATATAATTTGTCTAAAAGAACAGTTCTTATGTTCTGTAATTTGTCTAAACTACTAATATAATGAGTCAGAAGGAAAATATATTCCACTTTAATCATATTGACAAAAGCAAAACAAAGGAAGATATCCAGGAGATCAAAGAATATTACCGTTTCAAATATTGGATTTACCAAAAAGCCTATAAATACTTCAAAAAACTAAATCTCCTATTCAATATGTCCTCAACTGGCCTGATAGTAATCGGGACTGTTGCTGGTGGTTTGACAGCTAACCCAGCCATTATAGGAAGCATAACAGGTGTTGGTTTAGCTCTTAAAACATACTCTGAGACAAAAGACTACAAAAAGAAAATAGAGATGACTTGGTTTTCTTACACTACTTACGATAACGTGTTAGTCGGGCTGAGAACTTCATTACGAGGTGGGACCTGTGATAAAGGTGGTTTCCCGAGGGAAATGACAGTGCTCGATGAAATAATTGTGGATTTTGCTCTATTAGTGACAAGATTTGAAAAGCAGTACGCTAAAAAGTTCCTCTCCCGTCCAACAGAACATTAGTGCATCCTTGAAATTAGTCTATCAATATCATCCTTCATGACATCGTAAACTTTGTCCCGCCATTCATTGTAATATTTTAGTGTATTTTTTATTCGTGTGTGAGGAATGAACTTGTATTCTATTCCTAAGATGTCGAATAGTTATTTGATAATAAAATTCACACTGATAAGCCGTTTTCTGCCCACATCTGGGCGTTCAATACGTTCAAATAGTTGGAATATTCTCAGGATATTCTCTCTATTATGATGCCCAATTTGGATATTTTTTTTTTTAATAAATATACTTTCTTTTTATCCTGTGTCAATTCTCATAAAAGTCAATATATTCGGAAGAAAAATATTGATCGTGGACTTGACCGCAATTCTTACACACGATGAAATCTTCCTTGATCAGTCTCATAGAATCGCAGCAAAAATATTGCCTGGGCTTACCGCAATCCTGAATCTGTTTATTACAAAATATACAATTAACATAACTCTCTTGGATAAAAATCTCGTGAACTTCTTTATTACACATTACTATATACTATATATAGATGTTTTGTCTTCAAGTATTATTTGCCCTAAATTTGTATATCATGATCTGATAACTTATTATTCCCATTGGATTGTCAATTCACCGATCAGTTGTTGTTGCTTTTTGGTTATCTTTGACATTGCTTCCTCTTTGGATTGTTTGGTATATCTGGCCATTGTTTTATAACGTTTGCCATCAATCTTAGCATCGTAGTATAGTAGCTTATTCATGGGGTCATCCTTGATTTTGAGTTTATCACCAAATTTCTGGTTCAGACGGTCGTGCAATTGATTTTCTGTCTCAATTTGCGCTTGATGTTTGTATTCAATTTTGACCGTCAGTTTAGGGACTGATTGTTGAGTAGACGGTCCCCATATTTTTCACTATAATACCTGATATACTCAATTTCCACTCTGTTTAATTCTGGACGATCCTTACAAGGAGCACGTATTATTGGTGTGATCACTGGGTTGTCACCCTTGTATTGATATATTGCACTTGATTTTGTGGTCACATGTTCATTGAGCCGCTCTTGTAGATTTCTGATAGAGCTACCAATATACAATTTATTGTTGTGTTCGAATGTGATCTTATATATTTGACCATTATGGTAGTCGTCATTGATATCTCTCCTTTAGTCCTTTGTACTTAAATTCGATCTCCACATATTACAAGTTTTCTGTGAATCTATTACAGCATTCTTGAGTAACATGCTGTCTTGTTTTATTCAAATAACAAATATTATGCTAACTTTCTTGTGGTGGTTCAAAATTGTGCTTCAGTTTACCACTATTGAGAAACTCTGTTAATAGATCCCTTGTTTGTGGGTCATATCGGGCATTGTCTTCAATGTACTTCATTTTGACGTGGCGTGGACACATCTCCGATATTGGCACCGATTTGAAATAATCGTAAAACATATCTGTGGGTTCAACAGTGTCACATTGGTTGGTATCACTGAACATGTAAATTGTGAGCTTATATTTAGTAAATGCCTGATAGAGTTTAGTCATCCACTTATTGGGGGTCATTGAGTATTCGTCCACAAATATTGTTTTGCCCTCTAGTGCTGTTATGTCCACCCGAGATGATCACAAAAGAACAGATCAAATGTATAACACTTCTTGGCTAACTCATAATTATTGTACGCATCACACAATACCGATTTTACATTCTGTATGGCATTATTAGTAAATGATAGGATTATGGGATTATCAGCTGCCAGTGCCTTCTGGCATAATCAATATGTCTTACCGCAACCTGCTCCACCATAATAAATGGCACCATTGCCCACATAATCAGTGTAATAATCAGGATCAAAGTTCTCCCTGTAATGTTTCTCGAAATATGTGGCTGGACTATCAGTCTGAAACATCTGTCCGATACTATCTGTTGTAAATTTGACATCTTTTCTGCTGGGATATTGGTGTTTAGGATTAGTCATAAATATGCCATCAGTATTGATTGCATACACTTGACTGATTCCATTGCCATCATTATCGTGACTCGCATTGTCATGTAACATGTTCAGACATTTCAATATAGACTGAGAGATAGTAAAGCGGTTGATTGATGTCTTGTCAGAGAATATGCACTCAATTTGACGCTCTCTGATTAGATACAGCTCTTGTTTTGTGTTTGGATTCTGATAACTGTCAATTATAACATCACGATTCTCAGCAAGAGCAGATGTCCAGATGCATTGTGCTGTATCGAGTGAACTACAAGTAAATCCATGGTCTTTGCGACTATATTTCCTACCCAGTTCGCCGATGTAACTGTTTGCCAGTAATTAAGCCTGGGATTCTGGGAACATTGAGAATATTGCTAACATATAATTCTTGAATGTATCTGGGGCTAATGTTTTCCGTGCTTGAATACACCATTTGACATTAGAGGTGGGCATCTTGAACGTTGTGATCAATGTATGCACCAATGGTTCGCTATAGAACCCAATTTTGATCCCCTTACCTAATCGTTTGTCGGTGACATATTCATGGATATAGTATTCGCCTTTCCTAAATACCCCATCAAAGGGCTTGATAATATCGTGAATTGTGTATAATGGTATTGGTGATTCATTATCGATCAGTATAGAAGGATAACATTTTGATATATCTAATGACACCAGCTTATCGAGTGCTGGGTCTGTTGAACACCATTGTAGTGCTCGACGATAAAAATCATCAAGTACTTCCCGTGTTTTGGTGTCATATTGTGATTCTGGAAGATATCCTCTCATGTGTTTGAATAATGATAATGCTAATGAAGTATATGACTGATTGCACTATATGAAGTCAGATGATTTGTATATTTTATATAACCACTCACAGATCGATTTACGGTTTTCATATTCATTGCTAAGGACATACATATTATTCTTGTGATCCATAAAGTCATCTAATCTGCCATTGTTATCTTAAAGTAAATACTCGACAAAATAATTAGTCCTGATCATATACTCTTCAATTATGGGTTCTATTTTTGTGTCCTGCGGTAACACGGTTACCTGATTCTCGATTGTCGATAGTGTTGGTTTGTCCTTTTTGGCAACAATGTCATCGTCTACCATATCTTGATACATGATGTAATTTCTCGATTTATTAGACCATTTCATGTCTGTCATACATTTCCATAAATTGTCAGCACCACCTTGGTTAGCTTTTGTGGCAATATGTTTGAGGCGATCATCTTGAATGGGATATAGATGATGGTCTTTGATGTAAAACACGAGGCTT